AGAAAGGGAGGAATAAGACTGCAGCTCCGAGGTAAAAGCTGCGGGGGAGAGTGTCTATGGCTTCGCTAACCCGGCTGATCACCACTGTTCCTGCCCCACCGCGCCTACGCCAGGCAACTGAATTCAGCTTTATTCAGCAGGGCCAAACCACTTCTGGTTAAAATTTAGGGAAAAAAAAATTAGATGAATCCCAAAAATGTTGTCCTGGGATCATCCTTCCCTGCCTTTCCCCTAGATTCCCCCAAGACTTTTAAGGATGAGTTGGGGACAATTGGAAGTAGACAGACAGCGCGCGGGCCCCACAGTTAAGAACATGAATTTTAGGGAAGAAAGCCAACCACACTCTTTGGGGCTTTTCCTCCCTCCTTCTCCTCTGCCTTGTAAACAAGAAAGCTGTCCGTAGATTCTTCTTTCCCGCTTAGCTCGCCAACCAGGCTGGCTCCCTGCCCTCTGAATATCCCGCAGTCTTCAATACAATGCACACCGCGGACGCACGCACGCAGCCTAGCTAGGGTCTTTGCTGTGATTCGAGCCCCCCACCCCTACCCCCACCCAGCGATACACATAGAAGCACATACATAAACACGTGTACACATTCGCATTCGAAAAATCACCAAGGTTGGGGAGATGAAATCCAGCCTTAAAATACAAGTTAAGCAGGAGTTTCTGCTCTATCCAATCTAGATGACACAAATTTTAGCTCTGTCTAGCAGCCTTATAAGTTCTGAAGACTATTTCTTAAAGGGAAATTAAAATACACACACACACAATGTTGTACACAGGGTGTACAAAGCTCTAATAGCTTAAAACCGCGCTAAGATTTTTTGGGACACACTCTGTGTGTCGTGCTTATGGAGACTTCTTGGACTGTGAGGCGAAACACACACACATCATACGCAAAGATGACGTATTCTTTCATTAGACAAATATTTATTGAGTGCCTACTACATTCTTTAAGATAGGGTGCTACTGTTCCCAGTCTCTTATTTCTTCTCAGCCAAACGTCGATCCAGGAGACTCACACTTACCTGTGGCTCACGCCAAAGGCTCCTTCCAGGCTCATAGAAAGTAAAAAGCCCCCGCAAGACAAAGGAAAGAATTCATTTACACGAGTTGGGGCTTAGCAAGCCAAAGAAGCCCGGCTTGCTTGCTGCTTGGGGTAAGAGACTGGCACATTTCTTTGGAAGGGAAGGAAAAGGGCCTTAGCGACTTTTCAGCTGGTCTGAAGACACAATAAGTGTCAGGTCTAGGCAAGAGGGACAGCTTACCGTCTGTCTAGGTGAGGAAAACTACTAGTAAAATATGTAGCTTGATTTTAAACAGAAAACCCTACTACCTTCCATCTCACCAACTTCTTCCAAATAGATCAATCTCATCCTGTCTTGGCTCTCACTTCTCCCAGAAAGAGGATAGAAATATGCTTAGAGTAGGTGAATGGGGGTGGGGAGACACAAATAGGGGAGAAAGGTAAATAGAGGAGCTCCCAGACTTTGGTTTTCTAGGATTCCAGGCCCGACTCTCCTTCACGACTAGCTGCCCAACCCGCAGACTTTACAACGCCTGCCTACTCTGGAGCTATGCTAGGTCCAGTTAAAATCCTGGTGCTCTTAAAAAGAAAAACGGGCAAGAGAGGGTGGGGAGAGAACCACCTACAAATATAACAATAATATATTTGTTAAAGGTTATCCTTTAAAAATTATTTGGCTTCTCTTCAAGAGGACTACTCCATAGTTCCTGACCTCCCTCTCCTCAACCCTGCACACAGATACATGCACACACATACCTACACAATCGCAACCATCAGATGAGAAATTAGTTTACTGAAGGAATCTTAGCTTGACAATCCACTTTTTTCCCTTCTTAAATATCTTTATTTGCACATTTGTCAATTGTTGCCTAAAATGCATGTGTCCTGGAAGAGGAAACTTTGAGTGGGCACTAGGGCCCTTGGGTAGGGATGACCTGGGAAAATTCAGTCACACCGAATAGAATGATACCATTGGAGAAGAGGAGAACTGGGTTTGTCTGGGAAACCTTCTCCTTTAAATGAAAGAAACAGCTACCAAGTCTGGAACATACTGTTATCAATTTCTCCAGGGATGGAGGCTTCTTACCAGCACATTTGTGCCACGCAGATGGCACTGGGCTTTCAGTGTCCAATGGAGAGAGTTGCATTTGGACTTGGGGTGTCCTTGGATTAGCATGTCTCTCTATTTCAGTATTTGGTAGGGAATCAAAACCTTGAACATTTTCTTGCTTATCCTGGCCCCCAACATCATTCACTCCTACCCACACACCTATCCATACATTCACAGCTCAACTTCCTCCCAGTGTTGCCCAGGAGTACTCAAAAAATTTGGAGCTCATTAGGGAGAGAGAGAGTAAGAGAAAAACAGACAGATAGACAGACACGCATGGAGAGACATATGGACACAGAAAGCAGATACAAAGAAAGACTCAAAGAAACAGAGACAAACCCCCCAAAAAAAACAAAACAAAGACAGAGATAGGGACACATGGAGACAAACCCAGAGATAGAGAAACAGAGACGTAGTCAGACAGAAAGACACAGATACGCAAACATAGAGAGCAGAGCAGGAGGAGGGGAGGAAAAGGAAGAAGAGAGAAGTAGAGGGAGAGAGAGAGAAAGAGAGAGAGAGAGAGAGAGAGAGAGAGAGAGAGAGAGAGAGAGAGAGAGAGAGAGAGAGTTGTCCACGAACTCCAAAAGATATAAATCACATCACCAAACTCCAGAATTAACTAGAGACTGTGCTTCCCCTTCAAAGTTTTTCTAAAGTTTCTCCTAGAAAAGTTAAGTTCGTTCTTTTCTGGGCTTTTGGTGCCCCCTCTGGATGATCCTGGGAATTGCATGCTTTTTTCCCCTTTTTTTAAAAATTTAAGTCTGTCTAAAAAGTTTACAACTAAGTTTAAGAAGGTATGGCAATATACGTGTAGCAAATGCACAAAAAATGCACAAAGTACAGTTACTTCTTTTTAAGATACGAGTATATAATACATAATTTCTAATGTAGTATTACATATAATACATAACATATTGTACTGGAACTACACAGAGAAATATTTTTAAATACTTTAAGGTCAAAGTCCACCTAACTGTCATTGTGCTAGTAATTTATTACAAGGATTAATATTTTAAAACTCATCTAAATATTCTAGAAATTATTTTCTAAATCTCTGCTCAGAGCTTGCAGTCTCTGCATGCATTCTTCCAGGATATCCAAATTAGAAGAAACTAAACAATTACATTTATAATTCCCTTTTTCAGTACACAGAAATACACAATACAATTCCATCCCCTACCCCCACCCCAAGAAGCAATATGCCCTATTTACATCCTACTTGCCAGTGCAAACAGATGTAGATTCAAGTTGGTTGTGTGGTAGTTTTTTCTACACAAAATATGGTTATGCAGACAGTTAAGATTTTACTTACCCTAGTGTCAAGTATTATTTGTAAGTCATACAACTGTGGCCCCATTGTGATGAGCAAACATTTCTTTTTTAAAAAACTGACTTTCTTTTAGAGAAAAGGAGCCAAAAATTTTAAAACCCTCCATGAGAAAAAGGGTTTTTTTTTCCTTTTTAAGAAAACCATCGAATACTGACAGTTATTCTCAAATTAAATTAGGAGAGACATTTTATGTACCGCTGGTAAAATTCAACCTCCCCCCTTCAAAAAAATCGTCTAATACCAAGTGAAAATGTCTAAGAGTGGGGAAAAAAGGGTGGCTCGTGTAAAAACGACTTTGTGAAACTTTTAAGACGCAAATCCTACAGAGCTTCTAAAACTATTCTTGTGCTCAACAGTCTTCAAAATCTGTACTATTTGACTTTAGTTTTCTTGAGTATTCCTCTTCTAAAAGCTTTCGGTGGAGAGACATAAAACCCTTTAAAACACGACTAAAAAGGCATCCCCCAACCTTCTTACACTAGAGCCTGAAGGGAGAAGAAAGTGAAAATGCTTAGCCTTCTTCCCTAAATAAAGTAAAAGGTACATTACAACTTAAAGTGAAGCTTTTTTTTTTTTGGTCTTGTTTGGGTTGTTAAGTGACAAACCTTTGCCAAGCTGTCCCTCCTCGCTTCGTGGGTTAGGGGAGTTAGCTAGACTTGAAACAATGAGCAAAGTCTTTCTAGTTCTAAATACATATTTTATAGAAGGTGAGACCTTCCTGTTAGAAGATCTATGTATGGCTGTGCAATATAACCAGGGTGAGGAGAGTGAGGAGCAAGATGGGGTAGAAGTTCTAAACGGCTTGTCAAAGACCAAGGTACCTTGATCTACCCATCAGCGCTGATGGAATGGAGGGGACGGGGTGGGGGGGAGAATACGAATTCCAGAGATGCCCATCATTAGCTAAATGGGAGCTACCTGGGTTTGAAGCAGCAGCACCGCAGTATATTTGACAAGCGACACCAACCACAGAGAAGCATGACACGTTAATCTATTTATGCGGATTGTTGTGGAATAATGGCAGCCGTTAAATCGCCAAAACATTTTGCTGCTTTAAAAGAAATTTCGTTTGTTTGTTTTTACCTAAGAATATTCTGAGGCCAGCTCTAAATGAATAATCTGTGTGAGACATTTGAAGCCACGGAGTCGCTTTGACGGGACAGTAAACTCCATCTACATCCTCGGTCCTACTGAAAACTTTTTTTTTTAAGTATGTCTAGACAAACGCGCGCGCGCGCGCACACACACACACACACACACACACACACACACACACACACACACAGAATAGTTTGCACTGAGATAGTACCAAACTTCTGATATACCAAGAATGCAGCAAAATCACATATAGACGTTTCTGCTCCCCCGCCTTCCTTACACCCCATCCCCACCCCCACCGCCATCCCGCCCCTCCCATCCCAGAACTGCAAGCGGCGCTCCCCTCCCCAAAACTTTTGGCCAATCAGCTGTGAAAGGCCGGGCTGTGATTGGCCGAAAGTCTCTAAGGTGAGGGAGTATTTATTAAAGAGACTGAGCCAGAGAATTGGAGAGTAGAGAGCGGGGCTAGAAAATTGACTAGGTACTTTGGTGAAGCCTCGATTCCAAACCCTCCCACTTCCCCCCTCCCTGCCCGAGAACTTTTCTTTGGAGAAGAGAAAGAGCACCCACTTTTTCTCTCTCTTTTTCTCTCTCGATTTCATTCTGTTCCTTGAATCTCCTAACTTCGAGCGGGTGGCGGCGGGCTGGACACCCCCCAGCTGCCCCACAGATCTTTGCAGCAGGGCGCCTTGGCGGTCTCGGGAGCTTGAGGTGCAGCCAACTGCTCCATCTCCGGCCAGTTGAGGCGAGAGGACCCCACGCCTCCCGCCTGGCAGTGCCTTGGGTCACAGCCCCGGCTCTCCTTTTCTCGTAACCCGCCCCCTCCCTCGGGCTGTCGCATGAATCTCCTCGACCCCTTCATGAAGATGACCGACGAGCAGGAGAAGGGCCTGTCTGGAGCCCCCAGCCCCACTATGTCGGAGGACTCGGCGGGCTCTCCTTGCCCCTCGGGCTCAGGCTCGGACACTGAGAACACCCGGCCCCAGGAGAACACTTTCCCCAAGGGCGAGTCCGATCTGAAAAAGGAGAGCGAGGAGGACAAGTTCCCCGTGTGCATCCGGGAGGCAGTCAGCCAAGTGCTCAAGGGCTACGACTGGACCCTGGTGCCTATGCCCGTGCGAGTCAACGGCTCTAGCAAGAACAAGCCACATGTCAAGCGGCCCATGAACGCCTTCATGGTGTGGGCGCAAGCGGCTCGCAGGAAGCTTGCGGACCAGTACCCGCACCTGCACAACGCCGAGCTCAGCAAGACTCTGGGCAAGCTCTGGAGGTATGTTCTCCGAGGAGATGCCAATCCGCTCTCCCTGGCCGACCGCAGGGGACTGAAAGGAATTGGAGTTTGGGGAGGGGGTGGGGGAAGGACTGGCGGCGCGAGAACGGGCAGCTCTGGGTTGGACCAAATTATTTGGATGCCATGTTTTGCAAACTTAAGCTTCCAGAGCTCTCACCCAGAGGGGCTGGAGTGCTATCTTCCTGGGGGCAAGGAGAGGGGGGCCTTGGTTAGTTCGATTTTTACTACTGAAGGCGAGGGGGAGGGAATGTAAAGAGGGGCGTATAAAGTGTGTTTGGGAGGGATGGAGGAAGAGTTTGAAAGCAGAAGATTAATTGAAGATTAAACTCTGCAAACTTGAGTGGCAGGGAGAGGGAAGTTGGGGGGGGTTGATGGAAATGTGTGTGAATGTGAGTTTCTTCCGTGCCAGGCAAAGTCCCTAAGGGCACTTAAGTGAGATCTTCCCGGGAGAAAGAAGGAGGGCAAGGGGGGGGGGGGGTTGGAGTAGAAAGGGGAGTGGTGTGTGGGGAGGAATTATTTGCTTTAGATGATGGCTTCTTTGCAACTCACTCTGAGAAACTGGCTGGTGCTTTACAGAGTTGGTGAGGAGAGGCTAGGAAAGTGCGCAGGAGCCTGTGGAAAAAAAAAGAGGAGGCTGGATTTGGGGAGGGTGAAAGGTAGGGGCAAAGGCAAAGGAGGCCTCAGTTTAAAGCATTTTTACCAGGAGTTAAAGCAATTTACGGGGGGGGGGATTTTTAAGGTGAGAGAGAGAGAGAGAGAGAGAGAGAGAGAGAGAGAGAGAGAGAGAGAGAGAGAGAGAGAGAGAGAGAGTATTAACCCTGAAAGCAAATTACCCAAAGAAGCAGCAGACCACAGTGCCCGACTCTTGGTCGTTCAGAAGGGAGAGAGAGAAGAAAAGGAGATAATTACCTCATCTGACCTTCAGAATACAGTTTTATATGATTTTTAAAAATTGTTTTCAAAATAAAGTTAAAATTCCTCTATTGGCCAAGTCAACTCGAGAAGAAAGCAGGAGGAAGGCTGCAATTCCCTCCAGATAGTCTTTTAAGAGAGGCTTAATAGGAAAGTAGCTGTATTGTCCAATATGAGGGCCCCACCCCCCTCCCCAAATTGACAGCTATACTCCTAGTCTCATCCTCTTTCCTCTCTTCTCCCCGTTTGCTCAGGCTGCTAAACGAGAGTGAGAAACGGCCTTTTGTGGAAGAGGCAGAGCGATTGAGGGTTCAGCACAAGAAGGACCACCCAGACTACAAGTACCAGCCTCGGAGGAGGAAGTCAGTCAAGAACGGGCAGGCGGAGCAGGAGGAAGGTACTGAGCAGACACACATCTCGCCCAATGCCATCTTCAAGGCGCTACAAGCTGATTCTCCGCACTCCTCCTCTGGCATGAGTGAAGTGCACTCCCCTGGGGAGCATTCTGGTATGTCCTATCCCATCCCCATCACCTACCATTCCCCAAGCCTTTCACAGATACATTCATCAGAGTGCCCCCTCTCCCCCCTTCACCTCTATCCCCATGGAGATTTCAACTCCTATACCATCTCTGGCTAACCGAGATCCACACTGCCTTCTGCATACAAATGTGCAAACTCAGGGCATTTCTGCAACCAGCCATATTGAAACAGCCACATTTTTTTTCTAAGTTGCAATATTGCAGATTTGCAAAGGCTCTCAAATACTTCATAAAGAGGAGTCCTATCCATTCTCCACCCACTCCCCAAACATACTACAGCTGGCCTAAAATATGCCCAGTTTAGTGTTTCAGAACTACTCAAAGATAAAAGTAGATGGCTAGGTGTGTACCCTCTTCGGTTAATCATTCAGTGGCTTATCTCCATTCTGGGTCACTGCCTGCTCAGGTCAGGGTCTTTATTACACCTTAGCAGTTAAACAGGTGCTATAAAAGTGTTTCCCAGACAGGTTTATGCAGTTATCCAGCCCAAGCACTTATCAAACATGATATTGACTTTTCTGTGTTTCTTCTTTTCCACAGGACAGTCTCAGGGCCCACCTACCCCACCCACCACCCCCAAAACTGATGTGCAGGCAGGCAAGGCTGACCTGAAGAGAGAGGGACGCCCCCTGCAGGAAGGGGGAAGACAGCCCCCTATTGATTTCCGAGATGTGGACATAGGGGAACTGAGTAGTGATGTCATCTCTAACATCGAGACCTTTGACGTTAATGAATTTGACCAATATCTCCCACCCAATGGCCACCCAGGAGTCCCGGTTACTCATGGCCAGCCTGGTCAGGTTACTTACACGGGGAGCTATGGCATCAGCAGCACCTCTGCCCCCCCTTCTTCGTGGATGTCAAAACAGCAGCAGCCTCAGCAGCCCCCACCTCCACAACAGCCTCCTCCACCACCACCTCAGCCTCCTCAGGCCCAGCAGCAGCCGACACCCCAGCAGCAGCAGCAGCAATCAGCCCAGCAGCCACAGGCACCATCTCAGCCCCATACCCTCACTCCTCTGAGCAGTGAACAGGGCCAGTCGCAGAGAACACACATCAAGACAGAGCAGCTCAGCCCCAGCCATTACAGTGAACAGCAGCAGCATTCCCCGCAGCAGATCCCCTACAATCCCTTCAGCCTGCCTCATTACAGCCCCTCCTACCCTACCATCACTCGCTCCCAGTATGATTACACAGACCACCAGAACTCCAACTCCTATTATAGCCATGCTGCAGGCCAGAGCTCCAGCCTTTACTCCACGTTCACCTACATGAACCCTGCCCAGCGACCCATGTACACCCCTATTGCTGACACAACTGGAGTCCCTTCCATCCCCCAGACCCACAGCCCACAGCACTGGGAACAACCGGTCTACACGCAGCTCACCAGACCATAAGAAGAATAAGAAAAAAATAATATTCTTAATTAAAAAAAAAACAGCAGCAATAAAATCACCTTCGGACATTTGCTTTTTTTTTATTATTATTCTTCAAAGACTCTAAAGGCGACGGCAACAATGAACACAAACCAGAGAAGTTGTCCAAATGCACTAGAGCCTTCTCCAGAATCAGTGGCCAGACCACTCCCCATTGGTAGACCAGCAGAACTCACTACAGTCATTCCAGAACTGGACTTTAAATGTTCTTCAAGGCAAGCACAGAGATTGATGGAGAATCATATAGCCGCTGTAGTTCAGTCTTTCTTTGCCTGTGCTTGGACTTTGTAATTATTTTTTAGCTGTAATTAAAGAAAAAAGAGTCCTCTGTGAGGAATATTCTCTATTTTAAATATTTTTTAGTATGTACTGTGTATGATTCATTATCATTTTGAGGGGATTTATACATATTTTTAGAGAGAATTTTTTAAATGCTCTTATTTTTCCAACAGCTAAAACTACTCTTTAGTGAAAGTATGCCCTAGCTTTTCTTGAAGTCAGAGGTATTTTTGTACAGATATGTCTTCTCTTAAAATTGTATGTGTGTCTGTGTGCATTAACCCCAAAACAGAACCCTTGTCTCGTGATCAGTGTTGGGGGTTAGCGTTCCTCAATTCTAAAGTCTGTAAGATTCAAGGTGAGGCTGCCTCAAAAGAAAAAATTTAAAAGGCCTTATTTTTTAGTATGGAAATAAAGACAGGAATCTGGAGGAGCCTTGGGTAAGTTTTGCTTTTATTTTTTTAAAAAGAAAAATACCTTGAGCCTTAAAATCATGCTACTAGGAATAGTTCACATGGTCTTTGGGTGGGTTTTCTCCATGCAGTCTTTAGAGAAAAGTTACCAGAGGCAGGCACCGAGGGAGTCAAAAACAGCTTCCTGGGAAGTCTCAATAGCAAACTTAAGTGCCCTCAAATACCTTCTCTACTCCCTTCTCTGCCCAGGTACCATATGCTGGAGGCCACTCCTAAACCATCTTCTAAACCCCCAAATGCAAACAGTATACCTTTAAGACATTCCACATGCTACAATTATTTATTTTGTAAGAAAAGAGGTTTTAATTTTAAAAAATTGATCTTCCTCTTTTAAAAAAAAACTTTTAAAATTAGTAGGTTGTTGGAGCCTTCCTTGAAGGGTATGGTCACCTATTGTTAAATTATGGCCTTAACTGTAACCATTTTTTTATTTATCTCTTTATTCTTTTTAATTATTATTAAAAAAAAAACAAGTTTCTTTGGGATCTGTGTCCTAGGTTTGTACAAATACATTTTCCTTTTCTTTTTGTTTTTTTAAAATAAACTGGAAGTGTTGTCTTTTTAGTACAAATGAGATTCCAAATGTAGAATCATTTACATTATTTTCTGCCACAGTTCTTCAGGCTGTCCAAATTTTAGGTGTATGTATGTACATGTGAGTGTGTGTGTGAGTGTGTGTGTGTACACGACCCCAAACAACAGAACATATATCATCTTCATATTCCCCTGCATATTTTCTTCTGAGGGGGAGGAGGGAGTTGATAGACTGACTAACTTACTTTAATTAGGCTATTGCTGGACAGTTGAGGATTGCTTTTTGAAAAAGACAGCAAACTTTTTTTTATTTAAAAATGATATATTAACAGTTTTAGAATTCAGTAGAATAAAGAACTCTTTTAATATGGCATCTTTCAATTTCTGTATAAAAGCAGATCTTTTTAAAGTATTTCTGTAACTTAAAAGACCTGACATTTAAATCATATTTTGTCTTTAGGTAAGTTTGGTTTTGTGTTTGTCTTTTGTTTGTTTCACTTTTTTTTGAAAACCCCTTGTTCTCTTTGTGAAACTTACCTTTTTTGTATATTATTGTTTACAATAAATATACATTGTACTAAAAATAGAAAACAGTCAAATGGTTTTATTAATAGAGGCATCCAATGAGAAGGAAATGGATTTCGATGCTGACAAGATTCTGTGTACTTTCATCCCTATGATGCTGTCATTTTCCTGGCAACTACTTAAATAAGGATTTAGCCCTATTGCTCTCTTCAGATCTAGCTGAGTCAGTTCAGAGAAATGAATATACCTATTCCACCACGTTCACCTACCCCCAAACATAGGAAGCTAACCTTGAAAAGTCTCATTCTAATAAATCTGATAGAAAAACATATGTCAATCGTTGCCTACTTGGGCAGAATGTTTCTGATTCTGGTTTCAATCTCATGCTTCAGGGAAAGAAAAAAAATTCCCCTGGGGGGGTTAGAAGGGAACATTAAACCAGAAATCAGTAGCTGGTGGTAGAGATAGGATGCCAGATGGGGTGAATTGCTCATTTTAACTTAATAGGACAATCTCTTTGCTCTTATAGATGCATACAAATGAAAAAGATTGTCTAATAAAAAAAAGAGGAAGGAAAGAAAGAAGGAAGGAAGGAAGGAAGGAAGGAAGGAAGGAAGGAAGGAAGGAAGGAAGGAAGGAAGGAAGGAAGGAAGGAAGGAAGGAAGGGAAAGGGAGGAAGACAAACTGAAAGGGGTTGAAGCAACGAGTTCCTAAGGGGCATGGAGGAAAATCCATCCTGTTAACCCATTAAATGATCCAGTGTCTTTTTAGTTTAACTCATTTTGAACAGATGCAAAGTCATCATAGAAGATTCAAGGAGAGGTAATAAGATTGAATTTTGTTTTCTTTGGCCTCTATTAGACAGTTTCCAAGATCAGAGAAACTTTCAGGTCATTTTTCATTAAACAGATGAAATCATCTACTCTCCTCCCCACCACACCCTCTACTCCTCCCCCACCCCACCCCTCACCCACACCAGGGCAGAGAGCACATCTCTCTTCAACTATGCAAAACTCCTCTGTGACTGAAGACTTTTCTTATGGGCCGCTTTTTGCACTGGAGTGGGTGTTTCTGACAATCTCTACAGGCTTCCTGCCACATGGATATTAACTTACACTACTAGGTTTTGTTTAGTGGAGTTCTCTTCTGCCTCCTATATCAGATTCACAGCAACCAAGAGAATGGCATTTACCAAAACCTGGCTTCATCATAACCAAACCTTTCCAAATCCTTCCCGCCCCTGTTAGCATATGATTCAGCACTTGACTAAGAGTCAGGAGACCTGAGTTCTCATTCCAGCACTGCCAAATACTAGCTTCTTAACCTTGGACAGGTCTCTTAATCTCTCTGGGATTTAGATTCCTCTCCTGTAAAATGGCAGCTGGGTATGGAAGGCAAGAAGTATATTAAATTATGTTTAAGGTACTTCCCACCTTTAATAACCTAGGGCTATATGATTCTTCTTTACCTCCACCCAACTCCTACAGAACCAGTCTATATTTTATCTTTGTACTATTTCTAGTCCCTCCCCAATCCACGCTCTCTGAATTGTTCCTTTCTCTTTCTGATTGACAAACATCTGAAAAATTCACTATTCCTCCCCTTCCCCCTTTCTGCTACCTACACCCCCTACCCCTGACCCCATGACTTAGAGAGTACACTAGATGGCCATCCCAAAGTTAGATTCTCACTTCTATCACTAACTTGCTATGTGACTTTGGACTCACAAACTATAGAATGCTAGAGCTGAAAAGGGACCTCGTAAATTAATTAGTTTAACCTCTCATTTTAAAAAGGAGGAAACTAAGACCTAGAAAGGTGGAAACAGTTTACCCAAAGTAATATAATTAGTGTCAAAACAGAGACGAATATCTTGAATAAATTCCAAGAGACTAATTCTTTTTCACCAAAGCATATGCTTTTTCAAACAAGCCACTTTCCATTTCAGTGCCTCAGTTTCTTCCAACAGAGATAGTTATCTATTCAACTTAAACGTTTCTTAAGCACCTTCTATACCCAAGCATTCTTAGGCCTTGGAATTCAAAGACAAATGAGAAACACTTCTTGCCATAGAGTAATTTCCATTTACCTGGGAAAGGTCATACACACAGATAAGTAAAAGTGAAATGTGTGCAAAGTAACACAAAGAAATTTCTGGAGAGTGTGTGTTAATCACTGGTGGATCAGGAAAGGCCTTATATAGAAGGTGTACCTGGGCAGTGTTTTGAAGGCATCTAGGGATTCTAAAAGGTAGAGGTGAGGAGGCAGAGTATTCCAAACCTGTGCCAAGTCAGGGAATCAGGTGTTATAATGCTACATTTGGGGAATTTTCATGTCACAAGGATATTAAAGAAAGATAATTTCTTTAAATGACCTAGAGAGAAGATTTATAAAAGGTATTCATAAAAGGTATAAAAGGAAGGATTTTCTGATGAGGGTAGGGGGGTGGGTATAAGAAGGAAGTCATATTCAAAGTTAAATGACACTACGGAATAAAATGCTGAGTAAGTTTCCATCTCACCCATGCCACACAGAGATTCATCACTCAGATGAAGACTCATTATTTAGATTGTAACTTGGCAACTACAGTTTCATTCCAAAAGAAATTTATTTGAATTCAAATATTTCGTTCTGTTTACATTCAAAATATGATCCATTTGGTTATTTCTGATAAAAAGAGATGGGGGAAGAGGGGACAAACTTCTTTGAGGGCAGAGGCTTGTCTCAATTTTTTATTTTTATCACCAAACCCTACTGTGGAGCAGTGCTTCATAAATATTTACTGATCAATTGATTGAATGGTCATTCATTCTATGGTCTTACCCATTAAGTGAACATTTCACTACTAAGGTGGTGTTGCTAATCAGTAAAGCAATATAGGGCAGCTAGGTTGTGCAATGGTTAGAGCAAGGAGAGGAAGACAGTCCAAATCTGGCCTGAGACACTAGCTATGTGACCTTGGGCAAGTCACTTAACCCTGTTTGCCTCAGTTTCCTCATCTAGAAAATGAACTAGAGAAGGAAATGGCAAAGCACTCAAATATATTTGCCAAGAAAACCCCCAATGGGGTCAAAGAGAGTCAGACATGACTGAAATGACTAAACAACTACAGTAAAACAATATAAAGTATCTTGAGATCTCTATACTTTCATCAATGTGGCCAAGATTGTATTAGGACCTTAAGTAGCTACATCACACCGCTGGATCATTTTGTTCATGGTCAACTGAGAGCCCTAAGGCTTTTTTGATTACTTTTTTTTTTTTTGGTGAGACTATACTTGTGCCATTGATTTTTTAAACCAAGGTGTTTTAGCTTTACATACATACATACATACATAGTCATGTTGAAGGTAGGACAAATATGAGTTATGCCCCTCTGGGCTCATTCTCCCAAACCCCCACTCACACTGGCAGACTGGGTTTTCTGAGGGTGAATAACTACTTTCTACTCTCAAAGTTCTGTGGGTAAACTTCGAAGGGTTGTGGCTTCTAAAGTTATAGCTGACGAATCACCTTCTGATGTGCTCCCACCAATATTAATCAACCAGGTGACATCAATTAGCTTTTACAAGTGAATATTTATTAAGAAAGTATAGCAGAAGTCATAAAAAAAAATTCCCCAAATCAGGGAAATACCCTCCCTTTGCACATTCAAGTCCCTGGGGAGAGTGTGCTCAAACTTAAATTACAAAGGTAATGAGGCACAAGTGTAGGGAATACATGTAGGCTATAGGGCTGAGGGGTAGCTTGATTACTGGTCCTGAGAGACCATTTTTGCCTTCCAGGTAGGGAGAAGGATTGGAATTCTGGAGAATTAAGTCATCCTCTTCATCAGATGGGCTTGCTCCTTGTTGGACATTGTCTGTCAGCTGGTAGGATGATCCAGGGCGGGGCTAGGGAAAGCAAGTCTCTGAGCTGCTGCATTGGCTCCTCTCTGGGTTTAGCAGCTACCATTACCACTTCTGGTAGCTGAGGAAAACTCTGCTGGCTCTTCAGACCTTTTGAAGCTCACAAGATCATAACTTGGGGAGCCCCATCTCTGAGTGGTCTTTCACCTAAGAATAGGAAAAAAATAACCACAAAATAGACAAAAGAAATAGAGATGTCATGCATTAACAGACACAGTGCAACTAGCTAGAGGCAATACAACTTACCAGTGTTCTTCCCCCATCTGTCAGCTCTGTCTTCCTTACTTAAAAGCCACCAGTGAAGAGCCACTTCTGTAACTGAGTACACAGTTCCAGTAAAGCTTCTCCTGAGTCATTAGTACTTCCAGCTTCTCAGCTGACCTGTAGACACTTTGTCACTCCATAGCACTAGCCCCTTTGCCGCTTGTAGTCCAAAGAGATCTCACAAAGTCTTTACATGTTGGGTTGAAAAAGGCAGAGAATATTGTATATAATTTATATAATCCACCAGGAAGGGTAAATCCATGCATTCTCTCAGGACTGGGCACCTATAGGTCAGTCTACCCATTGTTTTCTGAGTAACTGATATAGTGGATAAACTTGAGATTGAGACTGAGGATGAGGAGGTGGCCTTTATAAAAATGTATTCCTAGGGAATCTTGGGAAAGGTGGAAGAGTGAAAGGAGTATTTTCCCCTCCACCATTCCAAATAAAGTAGTAAAACAGCCCTATCTGGAGCAAATGCAACAATGACAAGAAAAACTGAAAGAACCCTCTATGAGAATTTTTTTTTAAACAGAAAAATAACCAAAGACTAGCTCAGAGGTGGGGAACATGTGGCCCTCTAGGTCCTCAAGTGCAGCCCTTTGACTGAATCCAAACTTCACAGAACAAATCTCCTTAATAAAAGGATTTGTTCTATAAAATTTGGACAGAGTCAAAAGGCCACACCCAAGGACCTGGAAGGCCACATGTGTCCTGGAGGCCACAGGTTCCCCACCCCTGCAGTCCTTACTCAGGTCAGGTCTTTGCTCATAGTAGCTGTAAGCACTAGCACTCCTTTCCACTCTGGAATTTCTACTGGAGCCCCTGCTCCCTTGTGACCACAAGTGCTCCTCATTCAGAACTAACTCCAAGCAATGCCAAGTCATACTTCCAGTGCTAGTTCAAGAGGTCTCCGTAATTTCTTTCTGACAAGTTGTCTAAACTCTTTACTGTATCTGGGCAGAGGGCTCCCAAAGCTGCTGCCACTGTCAAATCTATCTCCAAGACCCACCAGTGAGGCTCTGGACTAATCCCCACCCTAGTGTCAAACACTTCTTTTTCTGACCTCCTAAGTTGTCTTGGGCTGGAAAAAGGTCTCACCTCAACTTTTTGTTGAGTGTGTCACTCCAGAATTTGATTTGATGTATTATTTTAAAGTTGTTTGGAGGAGAATATTGAGAGAACTTGGCTAGGTTGCTGCTTCTACTCCACCACCTTGGCTCTTCAAAGACAAATAATTTGAAGAGAAATGGATGGGGTACAATGAACTTGGATAATTCATACATTGGATAACCAATTCTTCAATATTTGAGAGTTGTTCATGTCTAGCTACCTGTGGGGAGAGCAAGGGTTGGGAGGCACAAATAACATAGATGCAGATAAATAAATACAAAATATGAGTAAAGTCAAACAAGGTAATTTCAACATAGGAGTGGAGAAGGGGGAGAACACAAACAACTGTAGAGAACAGAAGGGACATCTTGAAGGAGACAGCACCTTGGGGGTAAGACCTGAAGGGAACTAGGGATTCTAAGAGACAGAGATGAAGACAGAAAACTATCTAGATTTGGGAGGGAGTAGCATGGCTGCCTATACAAAGGCATAGTGGCAAAAGATAGTATACCACATATAGTCAACAACAGGTTGTCCAATTTGTCTATAAGGTAGAGTGCATGGAATGGGATGGGAAGGATATGGAATAAGTTTAAAAAGGTATACTGGGGCAAAATTATAAGAGACTTTAAATGCTAAATACAGAAGGACTTGTGTTTTATCCTAGAGTCAAAAGAAATCACTAAAGATACTTGAACAAGAAGAATATGTTCAGATTTATGTTTTAGAACTATCAGTGTTGCAGCTACATAGAAGATTAATTTGAAAAAAGTGAGAATGGTAGCGGGCAGCTAGGTGGATAGAGCACCAGCCCTGCAGTCAGGAGGACCTGAGTTCAAATCCAGTCTCAGACCAGACACTTGACACTTACTAGCTTGGTGACCCCGGGCAAGTCATTTAACCCCCAATTGCCACACACACACACACACACACACACACACACACACAAGAAGAAGAAGAAGAAGAAGAAGAAGAAGAAGAAGAAGAAGAAGAAGAAGAAGAAGAAGAAGAAGAAGTGAGAGTGAAGGTAGGGAGCCAGTTAGGAGGATGGTCCAGTGAAAGGTGATGGGGGCCTGAACTAAAGCAATTGCTGGTTAAGGAGGGAAGTAGAATTGACAAGGCTCAGCAGCTGGTGGGATATGAGGGATGGGGATGGGGATGACAAAGGAAGAGTTGAAGATAACTGTTAATTTGTAGATCTAGTGACTGGAAGGATGGTGACATCCTTGGTAGAAAGGGAAGGCAGGACAAGAATTAGTTTTAAGGAGAAAAGATAATAAGTTCTGTTAGAGTTGTATTGAATTTGAAATGTCTATGGGACATTCACTTGGAGATAGTCAGCAGGGAGTTGGTCATTCAAGGCTGAAGCTCAGGAGAGAAATGAGAGTCTATAGATTGGGCAGTTCTATGTATAGAAATAGTAAATGGATCTATGGGAGCTGATGAAATCTTGAAGAGAGTATATATAGAGAGAGAAGAGGAGAGGGCCCAGAACAGAGACTTTCCCTATCACATCATTCTGTTTGTCAGTGGCATACATGTTTTGCAATTTTGAGGATTCTGAAACAGAGTGAGACACTTTTTCAAGTGACAATCAGAACTGATGACTCTTTAGCCTCTTGACATGGGAAGGTGTCTTTATTTTCCTTTCTAAAGATATCAGTGGGGAAGGTAACATTTTTTCCTTATTACTTTACATTTCTGCAGCTGCCTCTGGCCTGTCTAGATTTAGCAGGGCTTGTGAGAAGATGTGCCAAAATACATTTAGGGACCCTCCTGGCTCTTCACTCGAAGTCTATCTGAAGTTGGAAAGCATCAGGAATCTAATGACCTTCTATGTCAGGGATTCTTAACCTTTTTTTATATATCAAGCCCCTTCAGCTGCCTATGGCCTTCTCGAATGCTATTAAACACATAGGTTTACAAAGGAAACCAATTGTATTGAAATAGTTACTAAAATAGGTTTTTTTAAAAAGGTCAAGGACCCCAGGTTAAGAAGTCTTGTATCTAATCTAATGTGATGCTCCCATTTTCTGATAAAATTTCATAGGTCTTCACCTATGAAAGGTTGGCACATTAGAATAAAGCTCAGCCATCTGAACTCCAAGATTCTTATTCAAACTCCCCTCAAGCCCCAGGATCTCTAGAGAGTCATCCCATATGTATGTAGGTACAGGACCTATTAAAATATAGTGGTGTGAAGCCCTTTAAAGATAAAATAAACATTGTCCCCATTCTGAATCCCCTTGTCCCACCTTAATCATTGCATTCAGGAGAGGGGTAGTGGCTTTTTCCCATTTTTCAGAAGAGATGACTGAATCACAGAGGCACTGAACTGGTCCCTGGTTCTCCTCATCTAGCAACCACTTGGCTAATTTTAAAATCCACCAAATTTTCAGAAATAGCCATGGTACCTTAGTCACTGTTTGATCACTGAGAAGGTTCCAGATATTTAATTCAAGTCTTCCAAATCCAAATCCGATTTGACTACATTACAATATTGTATTTTCAAATGTATTTGTGTTCATCATATATTTGGTTACTATCTTTCCTCAGAACTACAGGGTAGGCTTGAATTAATTAATGGGTTTTGGAGTAAGTAACAGGACAAGTAGAACTCAAGAAGGAAAAGCAAGCATCTGAGATCTAGGGCCCTAATTTATAGACTCTACATAGCAATCTAAAATTTGTTGTTTGAATACAAATTTATTTAGTGTGCATTACTGATAACAACGAATGAAGTAGGGGAGAAAATTTCCAAGTTCACTGGAATGGTTTAATCTGATCCATCTAGTCATGTAGCCTGTGATTCAGCCAATGAATATTGTTAATATTCCTGATTTCCCAGGGCTGTCTGTGTCAGAAACTTTAGAGAAACCATTCAGGAAACCCAGGCTACTTTGGGTTGTCATTTAGATATTTTAAAAGTGGAAAGAGGTAATTTTGAATAAGGTGTAGCATTCTGGTCTATAAGTTACGAAGACTTAGATTCAACACTTAATTGCTATCTGACTCTGGACAAGTCATTTAACCTCTAAGTGTGTCAGGCAATTTCTTAGGACTTACCTAACTAAATAATAGAGCCTTATGATCTGAAAGAATTCCCATAGGGAATTCCCCTATGCCAACAAAATCACAGATGATCTGTGTATTTTAGAAAGGAATATTTTGTTTACTTCACTCTGCCAAAAAAAAAACCCTTCTCCCATCACCTGGATGATAGGAGAAGTCGGAAAAACCACTGGGATCCCCATCCATGTCTTTGGCACTGAGATTCACATGACTGCCATTGTGGGTATGGCTTTAGGATACTGGCCTATTTCAAATCAGCCTCCCATTGCTGCCCATACTGCCAACTTCCTCCTCAATGCCCATGGCAGCTCCTCAGTAGATAACATTTTTCTCTTTCTTCTTCTACCCTATGTTTGTCTTCCTCTGGGCCATCTCCAGTCATACTGATGAATATCTGGCCACTGGATCCAGATGGCTCTGGAGGAGAAAGTGAGGCTAGTGACCCTGCACATCCCTCTCTCACTCAAATCAAAGTCAATTGCATGTCATCACCTCCCTGATGGCATGGTCCTCTTTGAGAACAAAGAACAAACACAGCAACAACAATAAAAGAATGAATAAAATCATCGTGTTTACATGATTTATGTGCCTAAAACACGTATTAGCCTGATCAGTCCCTGATCAGTTGAACATATTCTACAGGGTATGTCAAATAACTAACTTCCTACACTACAAAGAGTTCAAGAAGAATTAAATGAGATATTAAGAAGAATCTCTATATTTCAAAGATTATAATAATAGAACAGGTTATATACGAATATACATATGCTTATGCAATATATATATGCATGCAATCATGTCTGTGTTTATGAATGTGTGTATGTTATATGTGTGTGTGCATCAAATACTGAAGTAATCTTCACTGAGGTTTTGAAAGAATACTTAAAACCACCATTTTAGCTCTGGTCCTGCGTTTAGAAGAAGGGAATGGACCCTAGGACCTTGGAGAGTTCCTAACAGACCAGCTTCCAAACTTAGGGTTCTGTGTTGGTGACACCCACAGAGCCTATGGAAATAGCTTTGACAAACTGTGGGTCTCTCAAGCTTGGACTCAATACACAAATTGTTCTTTTCCCACCATTGCTGTTTTTGTTTTTTATTATGTTCCCATCCCCCCTACCATCCCCCCCTTCATTATTCAGCTAAAGAGAAACTCAAGGTGTTTCTTTCCTCTTTCCTTGTTCCCAAAAGTAACACACACACACACACACACACACACACACACACACACACCCCACTTCCGTGTTTTAGGACAATACAGAACTGGAATCTAAAATCAGAAGAGAGATCAAAGTAACAAAATTTGTATACCCTGTGACAGAAAGGGTGTGTGTGTGTGTGTGTGTGTGTGTGTGCGCGCGCGTGTGTGATGGGAGGGGGCTAGCAGAATTCTAGGCAAATGGAAGAGATGCTACCCCTCCACCTAAGTAAGCAAGTTTCCCATCCAGAAGTTTTCTCTTGATAACTGACTTTCACCTTCCTTCTCCCCTCTTAAAAAAAATAAACAATTAACTGCTTTCTGGAAAAATTTTAGGGACTAGTTTAAGTCAGTGCAAATTAGCTTTTCAATTTTCAAAATGGCTCCCTGCCTTTATTGTTTTGCTGTGCATTTTCTGGTCTTCCTTTTCTGTGCTTACAGGCTTTCAGAAGCCCAGAAAAGGTAAGGCTGGAGTTTTAAGAAGTTGAATAGTGATTGAGCTGAATTCATTCCATGAGTAAGAGTGAAACAGGAAAATGACTATAAGCAGAAGTCAGTGAGACCCATATTTGACTCCCCTTCTCCCTTGGACCTCCACATAATGAAGAGGAAAAGCATTTAGTAAGCACTTACTACGCACCAGGTGTTATGCTAAACACTTTCACAAATATTATCTCATTTCATCCTCTCAACACACTTGCAAGGTAAGTGCTATTACTATCTCCATTTTATAACTGAGGAAACTGACTCAGACAAAAGTTAAACAACTTGCCTAGTGTCACATAGCTACTAAGTGTCTGAGGCTGGTTTCAAATTCAGATTTTCCTGACTTCAGACCCAACCCTCTATCTACTGTACCACGACCTGCCCCTAACATCCAAGATACTATCAAGTTCTGCCCATTCTTCTACCTTAATGCCTCTCAAAGTATTAAATGTCCATTAAAGCCG